CCAATACTAAACCAATGCTAAACTTCTGACAGCCCTTATTGGGCCGTTACGTTCAGCACTCCCCTTCTTTAACTTGTTGACTCGAACTGTAAATTGTAACTTTAAACTTGGCCATTATAGGCTGAACTAACAAAAGCCAAAACAGCGCCTTGAACAATTTCTAGTCTGATGTCAGTTGTGAATTTCAATTGGCTCGGGTCATATAAGACCTCCCGGCAGCCTGTCAGGTTGATGGGCTTGCGCTTTAGGACGGACAAAGGAGCAAGCAAGTTTACTGGATACAAACCAGAGGCTCATTACAAAGCGACCCGCTCCCTCCATGAAATCGAGAAATCGGGGCTCCTGAAATGTGCACATCAGCTGGGCGCACCAAGTGTGGCTGGTGTGCATCAGCGCGTCGCGCTCCGTGAAGGCCAGCCCTCGGTTCTTCCGCTTGTATTGCGATTTGCCTCGGACATGCCGAGGAACTTTCGCCAACTGCCCAAAAAAACACGTTATGAGATGACCTCTGCACAAGCAAATGGTGAAGGTGCCTCAAGACGCACTTGAGAGGGCCTGAAAAACTGAGGATCAGGCCAACTCGCTTCAGGGCGTAGAGCTTTTTGTCCACTTTGCACCTGGCGCGGGGGGCATCGGCGTGAGAGCCGCGATTGTCATGGCTAGTCGCACCTCACCAGGTGCACCGTGCCAAAGGAGCCCTCAGGCGTTGCAAGCCGAGCCGGCGCCCGCGTGAGAGCTGTCTGGGCCTTTGCCACAAGCCTTTCCTCCCCAAACACTCTTTTGGTCTTCCCTTTGCTCGTGTTTGACAGCTGTATTCGTCCCTCAATTGCGCTTCCTGGACCGAATGCCTAGCTTGTAGACATATGTGCGCATATTTGGTGGGGCAAGTGAAGGCCCGGCCTTGCCCAAAACAGCGATCTCCTCAAACTGTGCGGTTGTCCACCTCGCAAACATGCCAAGTCCATGAGCCTAGCCTGAGCTATCTAAGCCATCCCTCACCTCAAACCTTTGCAAAGACATTCAACCGAGAGATTCAACCGCACGGACTACCGACTTGCAGCAACACAAGCTGCCCATTGGCAATTGGACATCTTCGTCTACAGCATGCGCATCTACAGCAAGTTGTGGTGCATCCAGCCTTCGGTAACGATTCATGATGGCCTTCTCTTCATTGTGAAGATGCCTTGGCTAAGCTTGCGGCACGGCCTTTCTTTGGACCTTGTACTGAACTCGCCCTATCTTCGGTTTTCACTAGTGCTTGCAAACACGCCAAAAAATAAAACGCATGAGGCACTCAGCAACAAACCAGACAACAGTGTTGGGCATTTCCACGCGAGCCTGGATCCAAGCTGTGCCTTCCTAGACGCCCCTTGTCCAAGGAGCTCCAGCATTTGATGCCGCAGCTCTTGCGGGTCCATGTCCCTGACGCATGCCAGCTGTCAGAACCATCTGGCGGCAACTTGGCATGGACAACGCGGCAACAACGCTACTCGCCGAGGCGTTTTGTTGCGCACCCCTAACCTGCTTTTGGATCCCAGGAGCAGCCTGGGGATTTCTAAGCTGTGAGCTCATGTGGGCAAACACGGTGCCACGCAAGGACCCCAAATTGCCAAAAGTTCAATTCTGGGTACGCCTGAAAACAACTTAGTGCTGCGCAGCCTGCCTGGCTCTGCCCAGCCACGCCGCGCGAAGATCATGCAACACCCTGCGGCTTGCCGGCTATGAACCCCGCATCGCCCCACACTTTTAAATTAGCTTGGACAATGGGGCGGGGCTGCTCACAAACCATGTCGTGGTAGCCAGGAATCGCAGCACTTGAAGCCACATCCGGGTAAAGCAGATCATTACGCGTTGTTCACTACATTAACTTCAATCACCCATGGGGACGCGAGCCATTCAAATGTTTGTTGGTTGATCATGGATCATGAGATCCCCCCCCCACCCGTGCCTGCTGGTCCTGAGATCCTGTCCGGCGGGCCTTGAAGTTTTCAGGGTTCGTCGGCGTCCAGCTCCATGGGCCCATTTTTGTCGCAAATACGATGAGAATAGCAAAACAACCACCCGCCCGAGCAAGGCCCAGCCCAGCTACTCCAGGCAGGCAGCAGTGCGCTCTTTAGCTGCCTAGTTTGCCCAACCAGCAACCCGCCCTTGCCCACACATGTCTGAGACTAGCCTTGGGCCGAGCCCAGTGTCTGAGACTCGGCTCAGGCCAAGCCCGACCAGCAACCACCCAAGCCCAGCTCCACCAGCCTTGCCCTTGCCTCGAAGATTCCTGCGGGCATGACATCAATTGGTCCAACGACGCCAGAACCTGTCCATGCCTGAATCGCCACTTGACCAGCTCTGCTGCTTGCAGTCGAAACACAGACGCTGCGCGCTCGGCTGGGCCAAGGCGGGCAACGCGCAGCGTTTACAACAAACCCGTCCCAATAGCAGGGTGGGTCAAGCTTAGGCTGCGGCTCTGGCCAATGGTTTAGAGCCGGTCGGTGATACTCGCGACACCCCAAACGAAAAGCTGATCATTGCCCTGGGGGAAAAAATATAATATGGAAAAACACCCTTAAGCAAAAGCTGAGCATTTTGCCACAGCTATCCGGCACTGGTCAAGCTGGCCCAGGGAATACTCTTGCCATGGTCAATGGTCAACTATGTCAGCAAACTGGAAATGCAGCGTTCTGCTTTGAAGCCTTTCTCTCTCGCTCCCCTCTCTCTCTCTGGAGTCTCTGCACTCTCTCGCTCTGCCCCTCTTCTCCCGAGCCTATCGAAGTCGTCATACTTCTGACGCAAGTTCTGAGCAAGTTTGTCCGCCTTCTTGTTAGTCTTGTTATTGCCCTTGACCTGCAAAATCAAGGCGCTGCTATGCCACCTGACCCAAAGGCAAGTCGCCTTGGCCGCTTTGGACTGGCTGCGATTTGTGTAGCGCCGCTCGCAGTCAGCCTCGAGATATCGCACATCCACCTGCCTTCCAAATACAAGCGCGCAACACCAGTAGCATTTCAACAAGCGTGTCTGGAGCGCTGAGGCTTCTCTTTCCAACTCTCGATCCTCTGCTTCTCGCTCCTCGCGAAGCTTGACTCCAACTGCAGGAATTCTACGTGTGGACTCCCTAGCTGTAAAAGTTAACCCTTCCCACAATCGTGCCATGTGTCCTTTGCATCGCGGCGCTTCTGAACTGCAATGCTATCCTCTGCTTTTGGGGAGACATAGCTGGATCGCGATGATCTGAACTGGACACGGGCCTGAAACACATCGCGAATCAATGATCCTTGCCAGCGGGAGCTCGCAATACCAGTAGCATTTCAACAAGCGTGTCTGGAGCGCTGAGGCTTCTCTTTCCAACTCTCGATCCTCTGCTTCTCGCTCCTCGCGAAGCTTGACTCCAACTGCAGGAATTCTACGTGTGGACTCCCTAGCTGTAAAAGTTAACCGTTCCCACAATCATGCCATGTGTCCTTTGCATCGCGGCGCTTCTGAACTGCAATGCTATCCTCTGCTTTTGGGGAGACATAGCTGGATCGCGATGATCTGCACTGGACACGGGCCTGAAACACATCGCGAATCAATGATCCTTGCCAGCGGGAGCTCGCAATACCAGTAGCATTTCAACAAGCGTGTCTGGAGCGCTGAGGCTTCTCTTTCCAACTCTCGATCCTCTGCTTCTCGCTCCTCGCGAAGCTTGACTCCAACTGCAGGAATTCTACGTGTGGACTCCCTAGCTGTAAAAGTTAACCCTTCCCACAATCATGCCATGTGTCCTTTGCATCGCGGCGCTTCTGAACTGCAATGCTATCCTCTGCTTTTGGGGAGACATAGCTGGATCGCGATGATCTGCACTGGACACGGGCCTGAAACACATCGCGAATCAATGATCCTTGCCAGCGGGAGCTCGCAATACCAGTAGCATTTCAACAAGCGTGTCTGGAGCGCTGAGGCTTCTCTTTCCAACTCTCGATCCTCTGCTTCTCGCTCCTCGCGAAGCTTGACTCCAACTGCAGGAATTCTACGTGTGGACTCCCTAGCTGTAAAAGTTAACCGTTCCCACAATCATGCCATGTGTCCTTTGCATCGCGGCGCTTCTGAACTGCAATGCTATCCTCTGCTTTTGGGGAGACATAGCTGGATCGCGATGATCTGCACTGGACACGGGCCTGAAACACATCGCGAATCAATGATCCTTGCCAGCGGGAGCTCGCAATACCAGTAGCATTTCAACAAGCGTGTCTGGAGCGCTGAGGCTTCTCTTTCCAACTCTCGATCCTCTGCTTCTCGCTCCTCGCGAAGCTTGACTCCAACTGCAGGAATTCTACGTGTGGACTCCCCAGCTGTAAAAGTTAACCCTTCCCACAATCATGCCATGTGTCCTTTGCATCGCGGCGCCTCTGAACTGCAATGCTATCCTCTGCTTTCGGGGAGACATCGCCAGAACGCGATGATCTGGAATGACTCCTGCGACACATGCAGTGTGCTTGTGTGCGTGTGTGCGTGTGTGTGTGCTTCTGTGCGTGTGTGCGTGTGCGCGTGTGTGTGTGCGCGCGCGTGCGCGTTTTGCCTGGCAACTTGACAACGTGAAGGGCCGCAGGGCGCCAAGTGATCACTTCGAAAAGCGAAGGAGCTCAGGGCGCCAACACATAGCAAACATAGCACAGCATGCAGCAATGTAAGATCTCCGATCTGCATCTGGCAACCTCTACCTGATATTCAGCGCAGCGGCACAAAGAAAGCAGGCACTGCGCCTTCCTATAGTTGGCAGACATCGAGGCTATGAAGGCAGAACCCGCAATGAGAAGAACTGATTACAAAGTCTTCGGCTCACAAGGCAGAACCCCAATGCAAGTCCTTCGGTCTGGAGAGAACTGCGACATGGCTTCAACTGAAAGCAACTTGAATCGCGAGCCACAGGGTTTGAGCACAAAGGCTGCAATCAGAAGCCAAGCCAAGCCCCGTGCAGAAGGTGCAGCCCCCACAATTCACAGCAGTTGAATATTGCGCATCACACTTGCCTCAGATGCCATGGCATCCATAGCATCTTGATGTTCCTTGGTCTCAAGGTTTCTGACCTTGCTCTGAAACTTGCACACAAATATTGCTAAGAGTGGGTTTCCCCGCACCCTGGAGAGCAACTAGCGAGCTCTGCTTGCTAACTCTAAATTGATAAATTGACTTACCCTGCAGCTCGGTTGCTCGCTTCTGCTTCTTGATGCTCGCTTGCCATGCAGCGCAAAGGCTCCCTATGATATCCACCACCTCCTTGGCAGTCACATGGCTAGCCAAACTGATCTTGAACCTCTCCAGTGGACAGGAACCACTTGTTTGTAAGGTGAAGAAAATGGATGTGCAGCATTGCGGCTCAGCTTGTCTGCTGTTGGAATGATGCAGCACCACACCGCAAGCAGCGAACGCAACACCAAACCCACATCGACCCCATATAAGATCTAAGGCCCCCCCCCGTCCTGCGGCCCCAGGAGCGCTGGCAAGCTCGCCTGGATGGCCTGGAAAGAGCATGCTCTCATAATTTGGTTTGCTCAAGAAGGCGCCCAACTCTACTTCAACAATAGCCTGTTCAAAAAGGAAGCTTCAATTCGGGTACTTTGACAAATTTTGACCTTGCGGCGTTGGCCGCACGGCTCACAGGGGCCAATCGCCCTCGCTAAACTCTGCGAAAGCTCGAGACACACAAAAACAGAACGCGGCCAACAGCCCTGGCGGGCCTCTGCGAACTTCCCTTGAGAGGCGCAGGTCTGCACTTGCGAGAGCGCCCTGTGCAGACGAGCTGCAGAGGGAGATCGCCCCCGTGAACCTGGCGGGTTCATAAACGCTCTCAGATCGCTCAAATGCCGTAGCCTCCGCAAAACGTCGCGTGACAGTCTCTTGCGAGGATATTGCAAATATGGCAACTTTATTGTGACATGCAATGTCACACTGCGACGTGGCGAGGTCGTCCAATGATTTAGAAACATGATAATTCAACCAAGCGTAGCAAATCCTTATATTGCCTCGAACTAGGCACATGCAATGCCCCAATCAAAATGATGCAAATACCCTGACAAGATTGCTGTTGTGTTGGGGTGTCAAGCAAATCAGGTCTGAGTATCGCATCATCGTAAATTTCAGGCGAAAGCCCTCAAAGCAACATGAGCTAACGAATTCGAGGCAAGATGCTTGTGATTTCCATACAGGCAACAAGGATGTCCAGCACTGGAAAGACAGCAGACCCAAATTGGACACGCAGAAAGCAAGTATGGGCAGGTTGGTCCCCTAGTCGCCGCAGTAACGTGACATACCGGTGGCCATTTGGCCGTGCCACTCCTGCTCTTCATTTCAAGCTACGTCTTTATAACGAGGGCAAAGCTGACCCCCTGAGCACAGCCTCGCGGCTCCACTGGCTCAACCTCTGGTTCAGCCGAGGCCGGCGGCGAGCTGCTTTGGGCAGTGCTGGATAGGGAAGCGTTGGCCTCAGCTCATACAATCTTTGCTATGGGGATG